AATTCGCATGACACAGTCTGTGGTGTTGTACTAGTTTAACTCTGTAACAGTTTTCTGAAGAAGATCATGAGGAGCTGTGATCTGTGTGCTAACTGCTAACAGCTAATGGCGTGAAGTTTCTGGTTGAACGTGCAGTGACGGCGGCTTGAGATCTCACCTCTGATTGGCTTCCACGAGAACGGTCGGAATTTAGCTCAGCTTTGAAAAAATTGAACTCGGTTTTGCACGCGGCCCTTCATCGCGTGATTCGCCAGGGGCGTCCACCGCTTCATGCGCGCCGTCGGAGCAACATTCGCCGTCTGATCGTGGTCTCTGCATGTGACGTTACATGTAATCCGCGCCGCTCCCCAAAACGTCGCATCGCGTCCGGGTGAACGTAGCATTAAGGAACGATGCCGTTATTTGCATAGTGCCTTTGGTTTTGTTTTATGTGAAAGCTCACCATTTCTATAAAAAAAAACCGATTTTAATCAGGAAATTATTCAATGAATTTGTATTTTCTGCCGAAGTGGTTCAAACTCAGCACAATTTTTATTCCGTGGTTTTGGGTTGAAACAGTTTGTTTTGCTAGTTATTGCAAGGTAAAAGTCACCTGTAAGCAAATCAATGTGTTTGCTTTCACAGGTACTTTACCCTTGCAATCACACTACAACAACAAGGCATTTCTAGCCCAAAATCCACAATTCTAAAAAGATTGGTGCTGAGTTTCTGAACCACTTCTCGCCGGCAGAAAATACCAAAGTCATTGATACATTTCCTGCAATTAAAGAATCGGGTTTTCTTTTATAGACATTCAGCCTTTTCATAAAAAAACAAAATGCATATCTAAATAACCGCATGTTCCTTATGCTACGTTCACACCGGACCCCGATGCGACCCGTTCTGGGAGCCGGCGCGATTACATGGTAGAGAGTCAATGCAGAGACAATCAGACGCGAATTTGCTCACCGACGGCGCGGCAGTGAAGCGGTGGACGCGGCGCGAATCACGGCGATTGAAGGGGCCGCGTCAAACGCGAGTCAATTTTTCAACTTGAGCGTCAAATCACCGGGAAACGCGTTCTCGTGGAGCCAATCAGAGGTGAGATTCAGCCTGCCGTCACTGGACGTTTCAGACCAGAAAACTTCAGCCGATTAGCTGTTAGCAGTTGCACACAGGATCACAGCGTCCTCATACTTTTTCAGAACAACTGTACCAGAAGTTAAACAAGTACAAACCACAGACTGTGTCATGGCGAATACAGTCGCTGGTTTATTTATGTCTGTAGGCCGTTGTTATGAGTGTGGAGCATATACAACGTTAGCTTAGCCTGGTCGACCAAATCTCCATTCAGAAAACAAGCATTAAAAAAGGTTTTTCGCCTGCCGTCTTGTCTGCAGACTTGTCAAGCATTAATTCATGGTTTTTACTAACCGGTGTCAGTATGTTGTTACATCGGCATCATTTAGAAACGTGTATTACAATTTAATCAAGGTAAAATATGTTCATTTTGTTGTAGTTGTAGCTCCCGAGCCAGCGGCGCGTCAACGGTATGTCTGTTTTGAATGACTCGATAAAACAAACTGCAAGCCGCCGTGAAACTTGAGCGATTAGAGCGAAGCGAAAATTCGCATCGCGTCCGGTGTGAACGTAGCATTAGCACAACTCACCCAGCATGCCGCCGGCCACCAGGATGTCGAAGAGCGTCTCAGCATACCGGCGGTAGTCAAGCTTGGCGCCAGAGGCATCCAGGAATTTTGCGACTGCTTCCAAATCAGAGCCAGTTTGATTCAAGCCTTGTACGATACTTTCTTGAAACTGAGTAGGGTCAAATCTCTCCTTTTCATCTGTTGAAAGACGACACAGATGTTGCATTTAGAAAAAAAACGTCAGGTTAACCGTTACATTTGTTGAGCAGCAACAATGAAGACAAACCTCTTTTCCTCGTTTTGAACCGCTGGCCTGTTAGCGTCGGCTTTTGCGGCTTTTGATTACTCATAAAAGACGACCTGAAACGGGACAGACAGTTAATGTTATGAGTACACGTTACAGTGCCGGTTCACGATGCTTCCTTTAATTATGTGTTGCGTTGCGTTTCCAGCACTTGGGTGTAACTTGGGTGAGCTCCATGGCTTTGTAAAAGTATTCTTAAATAACACATAACGCTTTTATGACAACACTTGGTATACTAAATAACAAAGCTGATGATATGGACTAAATGATCACATGAAATGAGAAAAACCTTTGAAACTCCAGTAAAAATAAATTAATAAAAATAATAACAAACACATCCAAGAGCCACACATGTCTCTTGATTAACCAAATATACATTACTAGGTATGAAGCCAAACATATTGGTTCAAAAACTATCATGCATGGATGTTTTGGGAAGTTTCTGAACCATCTATATAAATTAAACTATACATTAACATTGAAGATCTGAGGCTATAATAGAGGGATAAGGAAGTTAGAAAGTATTGGGGTAAGTTTTTAACAAGGGGATGCATTTGAAAAAATAAAAACCTAGTATAAAGTCAGCTTGATTTGATATGAGTGTTTTTAACAATGCAGGGATGGGCATGCATTGTATTGGTCTAAGATCATCGTAAAACTACATTTTAAATGCTATATTAAAGTGATTTCGTATATCAATCACTAATACAATACTGAACAATATGTAAAAACCCCATTGTCACCTGTGCAAAATAACAAGAGGAAGATTTAATGGGTACCCACAAAGAGACAAAAGACAATACGGGGAGCTGATGGGTGCAGCAAGCTGTAGATAATGAGAGATTAAAGCGTTAACCATGCGCCAGAAGTGTCACCCTTTATTAGACATATTTTTGGTGATATTAAAAGGCTAATAAGTTTTGGCTCGAGTATAACAAGAAATGATCCAAAATACAAGTATCTAAGTCTAGGTTAGCATCGGCTAACTTTGGCCATACTCAAGCCCCTAAAGTGAAGTGCGTCGGCCGTTGAAGCCAATTTGTGGAATGACAGAAGTGGCCAAACGGTGGTACTACAGCCTCAGTGACGTCATTTTGCCTTTCTCCCGTTGAGTTACATAGGGAAAGAGGAGTCTGTAAATCACCGTATACTTATTTTGAACTAAATAAACAACACAGAACCAACACTTGTATAGCCCTTATTTAAATCATTAGGGTCTAATAGTTGTCAAGTGCGCTTAAGTTAAATCCAGAGTTATTTTCTGTCTCCCTTCATTTGACTGAGTCGAGAGAGGGAGGTGCCCATGCTCTGAAGGCAAAAAGACCCGGATGTTAGGGTACATTTTGGGCTTCATGCGCCACTGAGCAACTCTCATAGGAATGAACGGTGTATCCAATTCTCTTTTGAACATCCATGGCCTCACCATGCGCTTCCTAGCCCGGCCTGCTAATCACATTTGTTAAAATTGCAATTAACCAATGCATTCACACTTAAACACAACAATATGTGCATAACAGCCATTAAAGGTGACTTCCAGTCGAAATGTCACTACTTATTTTGCATTAATATTAACACAAGCTTAGCTGACAGGTTTGTGAGCTAATTGAGGCTAACGCTAAGCTAGGTTGCCGAGGTGAAGACATTTGCCCTAAAGCAGCGCCCATGATGGTAACATAACCAGAAAAAAATACTTATTTTACACTGTATATTCCGACATAATAGCGTCTTTACGATAAGGTTGAGGTGCAAGAAAACGGTGTGAAAGTGGAAATACAAAAACTCACCGAAAGTAATGCAGATAAATAACTGTTGTTACTAGTTAACCAGGAGAATCAAACTAATGTCGACTCGCGGTGGCTCAAACTAAAAGAGCTCTTCGTCAGGGCCTCGAGGGCTCCACCCACTGCGCAGGCGCCATTTAAAGGGGCTTTCCGTTGTTCTTTTAATCTTTTCCTTTCACTCTCTCTGTAAAGCGACTTTGAGCACCTGTAAAAGTGATATCAAAAATAAATCTATTATTATTATTATTATTATTAACAAGTCACACAATACTGTCTGGCTAATGGTAATAGGCTAATTATCATAGTAAAAGGGATACGTCCCAAAGCATTTCAGAAAGAACTGTTACTGCCAGAACCAGAGAAGAGTTAAATGTATTTTTGTAACTAATTAACTGATAAGATACAAGTAGAGTTTAAAATACTGCTCTCAGAAATAATGTATTAATTTATAGCCCAACGTTGTAAACAAACNATAGTAAAAGGGATACATCCAAGTGTCCCAAAGCATTTCAGAAATAACTGTCACTGCCGGAACCAGAGAAGAGTGAAATGTATTTTTGTAACTAATTAACTGATAAGATACAAGTAGAGTTTAAAATACTGCTCTCAGAAATAATGTATTAATTTATAGCCCAACGTTGGTATGCACAGTGCCCTCTGTGAACAAACTAAACATGATGATGGGACTCCATGACCCCGCCCCCTCTGTTGGTCAGAGACGCTTCTTAGGTACAGCCGTTCGGATGACACATGCGCATCATCTTCTAAGTAACCGCACGCGCCGAGGAGATGTACACAGAAGAGAGACTGGAGGGAATAAACAGCGATAACTGGAGTTTCCTGTGACTTAAAAGGTCAGTCAAAGGCTGAACTCACTCAAAAACAAAGAAGCAAACAAACAAAGAAGCAAACAAAAAAATATGCAAACAAACACACACATGTGAGCAAGCAGCTATGCTAATGGATAATATAGTTGGTACAGTCCTTCCGGTTGACAGGCTCTGATGTACACACTTCAAACATGATTCTCGATTAGTTTCCCCGGAAGGACTGTACCAACTATATTATCCATTAGCATAGCTGCTTGCTCANTTTGAGCCGGCTCGGCTGCGGCTGAAACAGGAATGAACCAGAGCTAAATCAATCTGTAGCCCGATAACTGGTCTGAACCCGTTTGTGGAAAAGAGGGAGACCAGAGAAGAACCGAGAAAAAGCACAAGAACGATTCTTGAACCGGAACCGGTTTGGTTTATTGGCGGTTGGCAAAGAGTACTGGAGTGTGAAACAAGAGCTATTGAGTCAGTGTTGTGGTGCCGTTGCTTTGGTCTGGATCTGTGAGCTAACCACGCCCCGCTCATTTGAATATTAGAAATGGAAATATAATGTGGCATTATGAAATAAAAGTCTCTTGAAATAAATACATCTGGGATTATGAAATAAAAGTCCCATGAAATAAATAAATGTACATTTATATATATTTATTGCCTTATTTATTTATTTATTTCAGAATGTATTTCATAACCTTATTTATTTATTTCATAGGCATATTTATATATATTGATTTAATTATTTATGTATTTATGTATTTATTTAATTCAGGCTTGAACGGCATTCCATAGTCCTTGCTCGAAAACTTTGAAATACAGCTTTGGATATGGCCTCTTGAGGCATCTGGGTCTTTGTATGGACAGTGGACTGTACACTTGACTGTTGTTTTAGGGAGGGTTTTTTTTGCTTGTGAGACAATGTGCGCTCATATTTATTTATTTATATATATAGATAGATAAGACAGAGCTCTGTTTTCCAGCCTGAGTCTATTTCATGTATTGTTTTGTTTGTGTGTGATTTAATAATTTTTTTATAATTTTATTAATTTGTTTTATTTATTATATAATTTATATCTTTTAATATTTTAATATATTATTTGCAATGTTCATTACACATTTCTTTTTGAAAGGATGTACTGTACAACTGTGAGGGACTTGTACTTTACATGAGTAATGAGCAATGTTTTGCTTCATTATATTTATTTAATACCTTAAACAACAGCTTAAAATATAATCAAGTGTGTTATATATTAAGCTGTAGTTGTATCCTCTGAAAGCAGGTTAAAGAAAGAGAAAACTAATCTAGAATCATGTTTGAAGTGTATACATCAGAGCCTGTCAACCGGAA